AAGAGGGAATGGGAAATATGAATGTTGAATTTCGACCCACAGCTCTTGCTGGAGAACATGGAAGTGGAGGGAGACACTCTTGGTTCCTGCCCAGATTCACTGGGGAAGGGAATTTCTCCATGTTTTAACTCTTAGCAAAGGCATATATTTTGGCACCAGCATCTGGAATGGACTTAATGCAGAGCAGAGAAGCTGAGAGGGTGGGAAGTCCTGGGCCAAGGGTTGCAGGTGTGAGGACAGCAGGCTTTGGGCCAGAGCCTTATCAACAGTGTTTGAAATTCACCAGGTTTGCACATGGCAAAATGATTGAAATAATTGTCCTTTGTGAAAGCCATAATATTTCACTTATAGGAAGGCAGTCAGATCCTTGGGCAGCTTGGCCCTCCTCCACAGGATATAAATTGTTAAAGTAGACCCCAGAGTGCAGGGCCATTTGCAAGAGACATCATGCAATTCACAGGACATTTCGGTGCAGACACTGAATGAACTAATTCTGCTAATAGAGTATTTGATTTAATGGCACATTAAAGGGGAAAGGGGAGCCCTGAACACATCCTTCAGCACAGCAGCCAATGGGTTACTGCAGACATCATAAGTAAGGAGCCAAATTCTCCTCTGCCTTTGCCAGAACAGGTGAGAGTTGCACAAGCAGATGGCGTCATTTTGCAGGTTGGATTCTGATTCTGGAGCTTGGAGCAGAAATCATTAGGTTTATGCAGTTCTTCTGCACAGAGGTTATACTGACTGGTTGGACAGACTGATGAGTTTCTTTTTTTTGTTGTTAAAAAAAGAAAAGAGCTACTAGATCATGCCAGACTGGAATAAAATAAAAATAGGAGGCATTTAGTAGATCATCACATTTCCTGAGAGTTCCTTTGTTTTTTTGTCATTGGTTCTTTTCTTTATTTTTGAGTGTGTTCAACATGCCAGACTCTGTGCCAAGCTCTTTACATGTTTTTATTATGGAACCCTGGGAGAACCTCTGGCCTCACTGAGGTACACTAACTGATCGATTGAACAGATGAATGAATGAATGAATGAATGAAAGCACTGAGGGACAGAGTCTGAGACTCTGGCCCACCTCCGCCAGCCCTGAACACTTACAACTCACTCTACCATAAAGTACTTAGATTGTCTAAGGAAATTTCTTGGTTATATACCAGATTAAGAGGCTCTAATTCAGACCCAGAATGGTATGGACTCCTTGTTTGATTTCATGAACACTTTTGTCCCAATATACAGGATGGGAAAGACAATTCCTCCCCCAAGAAGGAACGTGAAAAATGCTTTCTGGAGTTGGATGGCAGATGTTGTGCAGTTACGAGTTCTGGCTCAAAAGATGCCCCTTTCCTCCTTGGTAAGTTTAGTCAAGAGGTCATCTCAAGTTCTCCGCCAGCCCAGAACGCCAAAGCCTTGGTGGCTGGAAGGAGCAATAGCACTGCCCCATGCCGGGGCACATCATCCTGCCGCCATCACATCTCTTCCTCTTCCCATCCTGTGAGCCAGTCCTGAGGTCAGGCAGGGCAAACCCCACTGTGACAGCCAAGTGTGGGAAGCTAATTCACGGAGTGAGCCAGCCTCGCTCTGCCATTCGTGACAACTGCAGGCACGGAAAGGGAGACCCCTTGCGAAACCTGCTCCCTTTTGTCCTCATTCTGAGGAGAAAAAAGCCAGAAGTCCTGGAGAGTTTAGCTTGAAAATACTAATCTCACACGCTGTAAAATAGTTGGAGATCTCTTGCTTTTGAAAAATCACAGATGCATTCTCTGCCTTCCAGCACCAGGCAGGAGAAATGAGACAAACAGGCTTTGAAAATAAATCTGACTCTCTTGTGGCTCCAGATAGCCGACAAGTGTTCGTCCATCTGCCGCGAGCATTCACACTGTGAATTTATTGATTTGATAATACTCTCGCATAATTGATTGAGGATGAGACTGGCTTCTTCACTTGCCTCCATGTTTGCTGTCTGGTATCTTCCCAGCACTGCTCTCTCCACTTTATGTGTGATGGGGAGAAGCCAGAGATTTTTCTGGCACTTTCTGATGGGATGACACACATACTATTGGCCTTCCTGAGACTGTACACTCTTTGAGGTTTTGAGTGGCAGACACTGTCAGTTGAGTGCTTCTTTCCACTGGAATTTTACTCATCTTCACAATACTGCATGCATCCTCTCCACCTTGACTGTCCTATTGTATTTATAGGTAATGAAAAATAGCTAGAGGTCGGGCGCTACTTACCTGAAGTCTCCCCCTAAAATGAAGGGCACAGCAGCCGCTCTTGCATCAGGCTGACACAGAACAATGGTAACTGCAGAACTGTTGTATGAGCTATTAGCCTGGGGAATAATACTGATCTTTCTACTCTCAGCAACCACAAACCCCGTCTGCTTCTCTGCAATTGTGAGATTCAGATGTCACCACCATTTCATTAAATGGAATCAAAACAGCTGTGAGGATTGCTGTTTTATTTCATAGCATAAAGTCCTCATAACTTACTTTACAAAGCAGCTAGCAGCTAGCAGCTATTAAGTGCAGTTGCAGTGGAAAACCCGATTGTGAAAGGATGAACCTGAAGGGGGGGACAATACAGGAGCTGGTGGAACTGGGAAATAGCTAGGAGCCCCTGGGTTCACTGAAAATGAACCAGGAGCACATGATCATATATGGCGATTTGCAATTAGCTTTTAAAACAAAGATACACCATAGCACAAGTTGAGTTTAGTGTTTAGATACTTAGATGCTCAGATTCAGTTCAGCCCAAGATAAATCACTATCTGGAGCCAGCTCAGGCAGTACAGCACTTCCTATTCCCTGCTCCTCTCTGCAATACTCAACCCACAGCCCTGAGACAGTGAACTGCCCCTTGAGACAAGGTTTTTAAATCTTGGGAGGCACACCAGCTTCTTTGGCTGGACAGCATGGCCAAGGCAGTGTGGCTGAGCGGCTAAGTCATTGACTTTCCTGTGGAACAGAGGCTGGATTTGCATTCAGCCCGTGCTGCTTATTAGCTGTGTGTCACTGAGAGAACTACTCCATCTCTACATCTCAGCTACACCTCTAGAAAATGGACTTAGTGGGGATCCCAGAAGAATCTGTCAACCAATGGGGATGGGAGTTAGTGCATAAACTGGTATCAGTATATAAGTACCTCAACATCCCTTGCATCTTGAGTGGAATAACTCTAAGACACATGTTCTATATTGACTGGCAGATTTTTATAGCAGGATCAACCTCCAGTTGGCCACAATGAGAACTTGTATATCAAACTCTTTATTAGCTCTTTTTGTTGTCTCACTTCCATCCACCATCTGAAGTTTCCTGAAATCATCTCCCAGTTCCATGGTATCCTTTTCCTCACTGGCCTATAGGAAGAGTGAGGACTGCCTTGCTCTAACTAGTCTCTCCAAAGGAATGCCTGATACTAATTGGTCCCCCAATAGATGTGCTTTTTAAAAGCCTGTGCCCAGGGAGAACCTACAGATCTACATGTGAGGTTTTCTAGTTCCCAGAAGTATTCGGTCTCTCTTCCCAGCCACCCCTAAACTCCAGCAGTGATCCTTCCCAAAGTATTGTAGGTTTCTGCATCCCTGTTATTTGTGCCTGTGGTCAGGGTGAAATGTCCTAGGATTATCATTTGAAAACTCCATCATTAGGATAGTGAATTAACTTGTACATTGGTATTTCCTTTCTGAAACTGGTATACTCAGCCCCACATCACACTTTTACAACATAGTGGATCAATAACACATTCTAACAGAATGAACCATTTGCTATTCCCCAAGGTTATAGTCCCACATCTCCAAGGACAGCATAACAAATTTCCTTATCACAAATTCCATTTTATTCTTGACTTCCAGTATATAATTTAGCACATTTCCATGGGGGGAAAAATCCATGATTTGTTTCCTCTCTTAACCTTGTAGGGTCTTATGAGAACTCAGGCATTCAAAAAATGAGCAACTATGTACCAAGGGCTTCGGATTCCTTGGTAATGGTACAAGTTGCAAATTAGCAGTTATTAGCGGGAAAGTTGAAGTCTAGAGCTTGTTAGCATATTTAGTTGGAGCAAAGGTGTTAATGAAAGTAGTATTTGCATTTATTTCTCATCAAGGCTAAATGAAAATGGGTAGAAGAGCCAGGGTAAGTTCATCTTCTGGGGGAAAAACAATTCAGAGCACATACTGTCTTAATAGGGAAGCAGTTAAATAAGAACAACAGCCAATATAATTATTAATTCTCATTATTTTAACTCCAGTTTTTGGGTCAGGGCACCTTTGCAAAGGAGTATTTGTTGGCCTGGGCACCCGGGAGCCATGTACAGCTATGCAATGTGGTCATGGCATTTTGCACAGGCTGCCATTTTCTCGCTAGCAGTCCCAGCGCCAACTCCCTCTGGAGAGCCAGCTGCTCCTCTCGTAGGGCCCATAATCCATGGGAAGTTGCTAATTCTGATATGTGTCTCAGGATAGCACTTGTTTCAATTCTTCCCCCTCTTAATCAGTTCAAAGTCAGCCCCATTTCAGCACTGATGGGCCAGCGCCATCCTTGGGGAGAATTCATGATCTCTTTTCTGCTCATTTAAGGGATTTAGGAATGCCTGTTAGCCAGCATCTTTTTGGAGCCAGTGAGGCCCACGTAAAGCTTAAGGGATGTTGACAAACCTGTTCTTAGCTTCCACAGAAATTTTTCCTCTGATGTCCTGTGCAGCCATATAACTTGTCCATAGAAAGGGCTACTTCAGAAAATTACACTCTTGATGGTGGCAATTCAGTTTCATGTCTGCATCTTTGATAGTAAAAGGTATTTAAATTTTAGAAGTGTACTTTGATAGAAAGTCTTTGGGAACCCACTCCCTCCCAGTTTTTTATTTAGATACTCTCGCCAAGCAGAGACTTTGGGCTGGCTGCTTCATGCCTACTTCGTTTTCCCATTCAATCCATTTTCACTAAAAAGGAGACATAAGCAGTGAAGCCAATATAGTTTTATTGGATCCAATGCACTGCCACTAAAACAAATATATGTACACTCAGGCCAATACACTTTTATTATAACAAATACAATTTAATTCAAACCAGCATTCAATACGTTTTCTCAAAGCAATGAAATTAAGCTCTACCAGTACTTCTGCTCAATATGTTTTCCCAATCAGATCCATTTGAACAAAGCAAAATATATTTATCATAGATAACACATTTTTATTAAAAACAAATTCATTGAAACCACGTTTCCCTTTGAACTGATAGATAGAAATTCTAACCAATTGTATAATTAGATCATAGAAACAGATGTATTTTTTACTTTAGCAAAAAGCATTTCTATTCAGGCCCACTTTAAAATGCACTAATGAATAATAAAAGTTGCCCCAACAATGTCTTTAATGGACTATTTTCTCAAAAGTATGTCCTTTTGGGTTGGAGTACAATCTAGAAAATAGAAATCACTTAGGGAAAAAGAATAATGCTGGGAATATGATAACAACAAATTCAGATTTGCAATGAGTATATATTTAAGTCTACCTATGTGTACTTAGAGTGAAGTTTTTAGACATTGGGAATGTTATAGTTGTTCATGCTACTGTAACATATTACCCAGAAAAATCCTTCCTTGTTAAGTGTTCAAACATATTATAAATTCTCATATGTCTGAGGTTAACTAGGGATTACCATGCCTCGGGAGAACTTGATGGAATGGGATATTGTATGTTTGTGTGATTCTTTGGAGGGGATTTTAGTCTTGGTACCTAGATCACAAATCATTTTCAAGCCCTCCCAAGAACCATGGAGAGGGAGAACTACTTTCAAATGCCACACAGCTGTGCAGGGAGAAGAGCGTGGATCACAAACTCACTACGTAAGAGCAAGAGCATCCAAATGCATCCTACCTCTATGCATTGAGGGCCATGGTGCTCCTGACGCCAGGCAGACCCTCAAGTAGAGAAGTACATCAACAGGAATTAGAGCCCACTCCTCTCAGGGAACATTAGAACTCTAATGGTGGCCAACATAAAGTCCATCTTGTCTTCCCACTCAGATGATCCCCTACTCTGTCTTCTCTGCTTGCATCCTATCTGGAGGCTCCAGGATGCAGGGATACAAAGATTTCTATTGCCTTCACTAGGCAGCCCAGAAATCTTCTTTAAATCAGGACTGTGGGTTCCTAGTACCATTTCCTCCTCTGTGCCTGGAAAAGTGCAGAAAGTACAAATCATGTCCACAAGTCACTGGACAAATAATTCATTGACTTTTGTGGCACCCTGGCCTTGAAAGGACTAGACCTACCCTCCTTGAAACATAAGTAGCCACAGGGGATACCTGGAGAACAATAGCACAAGATGTTCACCACAGAATTGTTTATAAAGGTGAAACGTTAGAAACCCAAGTAAATACTTAGCATGAGGGGGATTGACTGAATGTATTGTAACATCCTACTGATATATTTGGTAGCATTAATGTCAACACAGTGTTGCAAGCATTCAGAGTGATATTGTAGAAAGATTTATCAAATGAGGAATGTTTATGCTCTATCATTAAATGAAAACATGTTTAACAAAATATTTATGTGTAGTAATTTCTCATCTCTGTAGATAAACTTGCCTCTGTATAGACAAATAGATGGGAAGATGACCACTAAAATGTTGATAATGGTTCCATGAGTGACGTGGTTATAGATTTCTCTTTTTTAAATCTGTATCTTACAAATGTCCTACAATAGCATGTATAAGAAAAATATTTATTCAAAAAGTGATTATTTTTAAAAGTATAGTGTTAATTCCAATCTAAGAGGCGGTGACCAGATATTGAGTCTGCCTCTGTAATCTTAATTCTGCCATCCCATGTCACATTCTTGGTCTTTTTTGAGATTCTATTTGAAGGCTTTTTTTAACTGGGTGCCCAACATACACTTATACTGGAACCTAAATAATAAATTCTTCCTTGAATTTGCACCAGGAAGCAGTGGCCCAGCAAAAACAGATGTGCACACTTAATGTTTTCAGATGCTGTGTACTATCTCACTCCAGATTTTCCTTTTTGTCTTAGCTCAGAGCCAGGCCTAGTTGTTCTAATGACGTCTCAGATGTCTGGTAACATCTAATGCCTCTACTATTCTGTTTTTTATTGTGTTTACTTATAAAAGAGGTCCAGATTTATTTTGGAAAAATATATGAATCTTATGTCCACAGAGCGCCAGCTATGCTGGGTGAGTTTCACCTGAGGAGGAATTGAAGTGTGGGAGTCATCTCATTTCCCTTATTCAGGTGCAAGGTCCCCGATCCTCTCCTTGGCACTTAAGGGGACCCTTTATCTTCCTTGCCAGTTGGAGCAGCTGAGGCGCCCCCCTGTGGCCTGGAGGCATTCGACAGGGGGCGCAGAAACACAAGGCGTCCGCTCTCCGCTCCACAGGCCCTTCTGGGGAGGACTCGCTCTCCTGGGCTTCTTGATGCACGTGGTTCCTAGTCTAGGGTTCAGCTCCTTCAGGTCACCTGGTCCTTACTCGGTATTTTCCAGTGCCCAACTGTGAGGATGGAGAATGGGGAAAAGAGGAAGGAGAGAGGGAAGGTTTGATGGCAGGTGGTAGGAAAAAAGAAATACAGACAGACACAGAGAAACATAAGACACAACACAGAGTACACAGAACATGTTTAATTAATACTGACATTTATCCAGCTGCAACTGTAACCTGGGTGGAAATAATTGCTGTTCATTGTATTGTTGTAAATGAAAATGGTAGAAATAAATGGAACTGTCAAAGTTGTAAACCTTCCCATCTTCATTACAAATAAAGAGCTAAGAAGTGAGAAGCAGTGTGCAAGGAGGCACAAGTAATCTGAAATTTCTTTTTCCACCACAGCAGTGTTCCTGACCAAACTTGGCATCCAAGTGTCCTGATTTCCATCCTGCTACTAATGGTTTCTCCATTTTCTCCTCCCTTCAGAGGGTTTACTCAGAATCCCTACCCCCACTCAAGGCCAGGCCTTTCTCAGCCTGTACTTCACAGACCAGTTCTCTTCTCTCACTGACCTTCAAAACATCCCAGTCACCAGCACTTCCTTCAGGCCCTGAGAGAAGCCTTCTCCAGAAGCTGTCTGTTCATTAGCCAATCTAACCCTCTTACTGTCCTGTGAGGTAGGCATCTTGGTTCCATTTCACAAAGGTGGAAACTAAGCCTCAGAGAAGTTGAGTAACTGATCCCAGGTCACACAGCTCTTGCATGAACTGAGTGACAGAACTAAGATTCAGACCAGTCAGCTGCTCCTTGCTGCTTCCCTAGGACTCATTTGGCTCAATATGCACCTGGTACAGAAGAGGAAACTGAGGCTCAGAGAGGGGAAGTGGCTTGCCCAAGGTCACTCTGATCTTGTTGGTTAGCCTTGGGCTCTCTCCACTCCAGCACACCGCACAGCTCATTACAGTCAAATACTTTGGCTAATACATTCAGATGCCAAAAACCTGTCACTGAAATTGCTGCCAGCATTTTTTAAGAGAAAGCAGCTTAGCTCCAACCTTGTTCTCCATAATTTTTTTTAAAACCAGCGGTCTAATAAGCAGCACAGCTGTGGTTTTGTTTCATCTTTCATTTCCTCTCCCTGCCCTCAGGTGGGGGTGCCAGTGTGTGGCAACGTGGCTCTAAAATGGCCCAACAGGATAAGACACTTGGAAAAGACAGAGGATCAGTGCCCTCTCTCATTCTCTCTCTCTCAGTTCCTTTGCACCCCAATATCTTCCCTGTGTCCCTGGGAATCCAACCTCAGTCTGTGGGACTTGGGAAGTGACCAAAGCTAAAGGCCAGTCTGTGAGGGTAGGGGAGGGAGGCACACCAGGAACTGAGAAGTACTTTGAAACCACAGCCTACCCTCCATGGTGCAGAGAGCAAGTGGACTAGGCCCTTGTCTATTGCTCCTTCTCCTTGCCTGGGAGAGGGTCAATCATCTATTTCTATCAGGTTCATAGACCTTACCAAGAAAAGAGACAGACATTAATATCTGTTGAAACACTAAGTTTAACTGTTGCTGGAGATACATAGGGTGATAGAAAGACTATGGACTTGAGAATCAGACTTTGCTCAAAGTTGGTACTAAGCTACTAACCACTAGCTAGGAGACTTGCGGAGGTTTTTTAACCTCTCTGAACCTGAGCTTTCTCATCTGTAAAATGGGACACTAGCACACAGTGGGCTCCCAATACATATTTGATGAATTGAAATTAAAGTATTCAAAATCATTAGGGTTGCAGGTTTAAAATAAGCAAATAACTTAATTCCTATTCATCTGGAATCCAATTGTCCAGTTTGGAGTTTCAAAGGCAACAAAGATCTTAATGGCTGAATGTCACTAGGGTAATCCTAAAATTTATTAAGAAACCTCCAAGCTCCATCATGATTATATCTTACAGGCAACACACAATGCACAAAGTCAGACCTCTGTTAGACCGACTTGAATTTGGAGGACCACTCACTTATGAGTAATAGTATATGTGAATGTACACACACACATGACCATGGCATTCATTCTAAGAGGGGGCTGGGGACAAATCATAATGTTCAACCAATATGAGCTGCTGCGGAGCTCAGTAATGAGTGCAAGTTTTCTCCCTGATGTCCCAACAGGCTAGAGTAGCCACAGGCTTTTAAATAATGTAATTTTTATCCAAACACTAGCAGACATTTTACAGAAATCCAGAAGCATTCTGTCAAGACAGAAAAGGAACTAACCAAAGGGAAGATAAGTGGCATTTCACGGCTTTTTTCTTGCACTGCAACTTCAACAAAACCAAGCCTGTCCTTGCCATGTCCCTGATGGCTCTGCCAGCAGAATGAGTGAATTGGGGCATATTTTGGATTTAAATGTCTCCTGATATCATTTGAGCAAATTAGCTTATGTGGCTGGACATTGTGTTCCAGCCACAGAGAACGTTTTCTTGTCCTATCAGAAGCTCCAACAGCCCAATGCCACTGTGAAATATCAGTAACCTCTTAACATTTTTCTTGATTTCTTTAAGAGTGAACATTAGACATATTAAGAACAACAACCCAACCATTAAGCCCTGTGTGGTTCTCTGAGGAGCCAGCTCTATTGCTATAATCAGATCATGGACAACTCATTCTCATCCTGGCCATTCATCTTCTTTGTTTATGCACACACCAAGTGGCATTATTCTTAGCATCAAAAAATAGTGATCAAAATTGAGAACAACAAAAGATCTTTCATTATTTATGGTGTTAAGTAACATCTATTTGCTTTCATTAGTTTCCAAACAACAAGTACGCTGGTTCTGATTAAACCTGGCGTGTGTTAATTATATCTGAGGTCTGGGGTTGTTTTGTTTACAAAAAAGAATTATTTAAGGGGGAAGTCTGAGCGAAATTGGGAGCTCCCAGGTCTCAGAAACCACCTGCCACCTTGTGCTTCCTCAGTAAACATGTCCAGCATCAGAATGGCAGAAGTGGATGTGAGCTTGTCACAGAAAGTTATGTTTTTTGAGTTTTGTTTGGGTTTTAAGCCTTCAGCTTTATCATCCGTTTTATGGGCTGGAGTCAAATGGCAGTACAGTGCAGTTTGCTCTCTTACTGCTCAGCACTAACAGCCATCATGAGCCATAATTAGGAGTAAAACCACCACATAAATAACATGGCAGAAAAATTGCCACTATGATGAGCCAGACTTCGGCTGTGGGAAACTTCAGCAGGTCCTGATATTCCATCATACTTAAGGGGCACTGCGTGGTTTAGGCCATATTTGTCTTACTAAAGCCAAAGTGGGAGCCATTTAGACTTTCAAATAGCATTTAAAAATAGACAATGACCATTTAAACAGACTGTGGGCTGCTAAGTGTGATGCAGAAACCCTTCGCCTGGAGGCTAGGACAGCTGCTAGGGCTGGGACACAGAGGATGGGAGCCCAGAGGCAAGGAAGGGAAGAGAAACCCTCAAGGAAGAGGATCCGTGGACTCCCCACAACAGAGAGGTCTAGAAATGTGTCACTATGGAACCAAAAAGTTCCCACACACCGCTAAGCACAGGCCACTCTTCCGCTGGGGAACTGGCGTAGCATGCGGCGACAAAGTGGGAGCAGGGAGGCTAACGTTTTTGAGCACCTAGGCATTTCACATCAATTCTCTGTAATTCTCATAACTGTCTTAGGAAGTCAGAGAAAATAAAATAAATGGAGTCCTGTGCCTGAAAGTGGTCCTGAGGAAGTAAGACCAACAGCCAGCTTCTGCATTTGGCCTGCCCGTTTGCAAAACAAGAGCAGTTAGGAATTAACATAAGGGTGTCATTCAATAATCAGAACAATTCCTTATGTTCCTGATTTGCCTCCCTCGTACAGGAGATTAGGAACCAAACCAGAGTAAACCTGTAATGGGAGAAATATGCTTTGTAGTGGACAATGTTTTTCAAAAGCTGGCATCATCTTAAAAATTGATTTAAGCACATTCACTTGCTCTTAAAACACATCATATGAATTTTCCTATTGACCACCCGGAATAGTTAAGATCTAATATTCGTGTGGTTTGAAGGAGAACATTCCTGTGGATATTGGGTTGTTTTGTTTACAAAAAAGAATTATTTAAGGGGGAAGTCTGAGCGAAATTGGGAGCTCCCAGGTCTCAGAAACCACCTGCCACCTTGTGCTTCCTCAGTAAACATGTCCAGCATCAGAATGGCAGAAGTGGATGTGAGCTTGTCACAGAAAGTTATGTTTTTTGAGTTTTGTTTGGGTTTTAAGCCTTCAGCTTTATCATCCGTTTTATGGGCTGGAGTCAAATGGCAGTACAGTGCAGTTTGCTCTCTTACTGCTCAGCACTAACAGCCATCATGAGCCATAATTAGGAGTAAAACCACCACATAAATAACATGGCAGAAAAATTGCCACTATGATGAGCCAGACTTCGGCTGTGGGAAACTTCAGCAGGTCCTGATATTCCATCATACTTAAGGGGCACTGCGTGGTTTAGGCCATATTTGTCTTACTAAAGCCAAAGTGGGAGCCATTTAGACTTTCAAATAGCATTTAAAAATAGACAATGACCATTTAAACAGACTGTGGGCTGCTAAGTGTGATGCAGAAACCCTTCGCCTGGAGGCTAGGACAGCTGCTAGGGCTGGGACACAGAGGATGGGAGCCCAGAGGCAAGGAAGGGAAGAGAAACCCTCAAGGAAGAGGATCCGTGGACTCCCCACAACAGAGAGGTCTAGAAATGTGTCACTATGGAACCAAAAAGTTCCCACACACCGCTAAGCACAGGCCACTCTTCCGCTGGGGAACTGGCGTAGCATGCGGCGACAAAGTGGGAGCAGGGAGGCTAACGTTTTTGAGCACCTAGGCATTTCACATCAATTCTCTGTAATTCTCATAACTGTCTTAGGAAGTCAGAGAAAATAAAATAAATGGAGTCCTGTGCCTGAAAGTGGTCCTGAGGAAGTAAGACCAACAGCCAGCTTCTGCATTTGGCCTGCCCGTTTGCAAAACAAGAGCAGTTAGGAATTAACATAAGGGTGTCATTCAATAATCAGAA